AGAAGCAGGTAAATCTCTTTGAGTTCGAGGCCAGCCTGGTCTACACAGAGAAATCCTTTCTCAAAAATCAACCAACCAACCAACCAACCAACCAACCAACCAACCAACCAACCAAAAAACCAAAGTGATGCTGACCTGAATGAGGCTCATGGCAATGGTAAAAATGAAAGAAAGACACATAAAACAACTAAGTGTGGAGAAGAAGGAAGAAAGAAAATTTAAAGCAAAAAGGTCACTTGTTTAAAAGAAAAAAAAAAGTTACTATCCTTTCTATGTAAAGAAAAAAATGCACATGGCTCAGGAGATTCAAACAGCTATGCAGAAAAAGAAATACAAAGAGCTTTCAACACATGAGAAGATACTCAGCAATGTTCACAATGACACAATACAGATTAAAATCACAGTAAGATACTGTTTTCTGGTTTATCAGGTTGACAACATTTACAAAGCTACAAATTGTGCTCTTCACAAATAGTCGATGGAGCTAGGCGGTGGTGGCTCATGCTTTTAATCCCAGCACTTGGGAGGCAGAGGCAGGTGGATCTTTGTGAGTTTGAGACCAGCCTGGTCTACAAGAGCTAGTTGCAGGTCAGCCTCCAAAGCCACAGAGAAACCCTGTTCAACCCCCCCAAACCAATAATAATAATAATAATAATAATAATAATAATAATAACAACAACAACAAGAAGGAGAAGGAGAAGGAGAAGGAGAAGAAGGAGAAGAAGAAGAAGAAGAAGAAGAAGAAGAAGAAGAAGAAGAAGAAGAAGAAGAAGAAGAAGAAGAAGAAGAAGAAGAAGAAGAAATTGCTGATGGGATACAAAATACCATGCTCTTTTGATAGGAGTGTCACAGAACCTGGCAAAAATTACTCCCAGCAATTAATCCAAAGATAAACTAGCAAAGAATATGAAAAGAGAAAATATAAGTTGGACAGCTAGCTCAGCGGTTAAGAGCCCTTGCTGCTTGTCAGATGACTAGAGTTTTGTTTCCAGCACCCACGTGACTCACAACCACTCACTTACAACACCAACTCCAGACAGATCCAAAGTTTCTGGCCACTGCAAGTACCTGTACTTAATATGCACATATCCATACACACATACACATAACTAAAAATAAGAGTGAATATTTTAGGTGGGGCAAAGTAATGCACATCCTAACCCCAGCATTCAGAAGGTGGAGGCAATCATACATATCTAAATGAGTTTGAGGCCAGCCTGTCTTATATGACAAACTCTAGGTCAGCCAGGGCTACATAGTAAAACTGCATTTCAAACAACAACAAAACTGAATAATAATAAATAAATATATTTTAAAAAGAAAAGATTAAGTAAGTGTGCCAACTGCAGCTGTACTTGTGAAAGTAAAAGCCTGAAAACAAGTCTATGATTCTACTCCACAATTGAAAGCACCCAGTTTTAAAAAGGAAAAGGTCATGAGATCTCAGAATGGATCAAGTTATAAGAAACAAGTGTGTTAAAATAGCATACCATTTTTTAAGAAAACCTATTGGGAGAGGGAAGGGTTCCAAGGGATTTGGGGGATGAGGAGCCAAATGGGTATCAAGATAGGAAATGGAATTAAGAACAAAATGGAAATCAAGGCTAGGGAAAAAAATAAAGTTACTGATAGCAAGAAGTAGTATAGGGATAAGGAGAGAAGCTAGACTACAGAATATTCTGTTTTGTATAATTAATGTTCTGTATATAAATGTTCTGTGTTCTTCTAAAGCCAAATCAATCAATCAATCAATCAAATAAACAAAAAATCAAAACCAAACACAGTGTACAAAGTGATACTGGAAAACAAAACATAACCCCTTCCCCACAAAAAAAGAACTGTAAAAACCCAGAAAATTCAACATTATCAAGTTGGTAAATTTGATAATAGGGAAGAGAAGAGGACTGTCTCCTTTTAGCTGACATACAGGCACCACACAGAAGCAATGTGCACAGGCAGGGGCCCCAAGGGGAAGAAGGAGGATCATGGGCTGAACAGTTCCTTAGCTCCTGCGATAACAAAAACATTGCTTCGGTCATGTACAGGGTATGGGGGGAGGGAGAGACAAGAAACAGAAGACAATGCACAGTGTTTGTCTTAAGATATAGGGCACACTCAGCAGGTGACATGCAGTAAGGCTCGTGTTTAGCTTTCTTGTAACTATCACAAGTGCCTGAGATAATCAACTTACAGAGGCAGGTTTGTCATAGTTTCAGAGGTTCTAGTCTATGGCTGATTGGCACTGCTGCTTTCAAGCTTGTGGTGATGATGCATGTCACAACATGAGCATGTGACAGAACAAAAATGACAGAATGAGAGACCAGAATTTCAGTCTCCTTCAAGGGCATGTCCCTAATGATCTCAAGTGCTCGGACTAGGCCACACCACTTACAGGTTTACCACCACTCAAAAGGTCTACAAGCTGGGTACCAAGTCTCAGCCTGTGCCTTTGGTGGTTTTCAGACCCCAACTAGGGCATATAGCTTAGGGATAGCCCATCTGACTACAGACCCAAATTAAACCAGTCAGGAAGGTTCAGGAAGATAAAGGGAGGGGAAGATGAGTTCAGTAGGAAATATCCTAGAACAAATGTCAAACAGGTAATTGTCTGTCTCTTCCATTTCTCATTCAGGGTATCAAGTTTCACACAGGCCCCATATTTTTATTGTTGCCCTATTACAAGGCATCATTATCTCCTTCTATGGTGTCCACACTGTGGTCAGAATGATTTTTTTTGAAAGCATAAATCCCAGGTGGTGGTGACATATACCTTTAATCCCAGCACTTGGGAGGCAGAGGCAGGGGCAGGCGGATCTCTGTGAGTTTGAAGCCAGTCTGGTCTATAGAGCAAATTAGGCTATGCAGACAAATCATGTCTTGAAAAACCAAACAAACAAAAAACTTCAATTGCAAAAAAAAGTATAAATCTCATGTTACTCTCTACTTAAACTCTTTGACTTCCTACTGGTCTGTCAGTCTGTCTGTCTGTCTGTCTGTCTGATGTAACTTTGTCTTGGTAATGGGAATTGAACACATATGCTTGCTTGGTGAACACTCAATTAATGAGCCACATCTCTCTACAGTTTCCCTCAAATCCATACCTCATGTGGACCCTTTCCCTCTCTATCAAGTGCTCTGGCTATGGCTCCTTTACATTGGCCACTTACTCCTCAGCTTTGCATAAGAGAGTTGTCCCATTTTCCTTAATTATTCTCCTTCCTTGAACATAAACCCTGCTCTTTGCCCTCGTACCTCATCTCCAGCCTTAACCCTTCATTTCCCTGATCTAGGCGCTTTGTGGTATTTACCACTATCTGTAATCTGCTTTGATTACTCATTTCAAGCTAATTGAGAACAGCAACCTAACATTTTCATACCTTGTACAGATGGTACAATTTCCAGTAACTGTATGTTGAATGAATTACTAAATAACAAAACAGAAATAAAGCTTAGCTCAGAAGAAAATTCCTTTGCTGGAGACACTGATTTGGACATTTTCAACATGTGAACAACAACTTTTTGCAATGATTTCTGCCCATGGGAAGTACAGGAACAGGATTTAAAAAAAAAAATCTTAGAAACAGCTGAGGAATGTGAATATTTAAAGAATAAGCAGAAGGAACAAAGAGAGAAAAAGAGCAAGAGAAAAAGAGGAAAATCAGAAAAGTGTTGCAAATTGTTGGTGCCACAGAAGAGACTTCTCATTCGAAAGGTAACTTGGCACTGAGGGAATGCAAATATGAAGTCAGGTAGGTACTTTCCTAATAAATCTATCAGGTACCTACTATGTGCTAGGGGGAACTATGATAGGATAGAAAATTAACCAGAAAAAAATAGTGCAAAACTACTTAAACAATGGCACAACCTCTCAGAGCAATTCTCAATCCCAACTGTAACCATCCCAGCACTGAAGGAGCAATATAATCTTATCCATCAACTGCTGGTCACAGTATCTACAATACAACAGCACCCTGATGCACTTCCACTACTGTGAAACATATTCTCTTCACGATGTGAAAATTAATCCTTGGGACACATGCAGCCTTGAAAATTTTACAGCATCTACCTAGGGGAACACTTTGATTCAAGAATGAATGTTTATTCTAAGAATAATAAAATAATGGTGTTCTTTATGGGAAAACCATGGGCAGGTTCCATGTCAAGGTCTCCCCCAAGACTCCAGGTTGATTTTAGGAAGAGCCAAAAGCACTGAAGTGACTTAAAGCAGGTCACCAGATTCATTTCAGTGCAAGGCAAGTGTATTAGTTTATTTTCTATTTCTAGGATGAGACATCATGACCAAGGCAACTTATAAAAATTAAGAGTTTAATTGGGCTTACGATTACAGAGGGCTAGAAGTTGTAATGCTGGAATGAAGACATGGCAACAAAAAGGCATGGGGACAGGCGGCCAGAACAGCAGATGAGAGCTTACATCTTGATCCACTAGCAGAAAGGCAGAGAGGGTGGAGAGCATTCATTGGAAATGATGCAAGTCTTTTGAAACCTCAAAGCCAGCCCACTGTGATATACCTCTTCCAAAAAGGTCACACCTTCTAATCCTTTACAAACAGTTCTACTAAATGGTGACCAAATATTCAAATATTCGAGCCTATAGGGGCCATTCTCATTCAAATCATCACAGCAGGTGAGCTCCAACTCTGAGATCTGACTCAGTTATCATATATCTATCTTTTCTCTCAAAACACAAGATTCTTGCTTTTTTTTTTTTTTTAGAGATTTTATTTATTTATTATGTATACAACATTCTGCTTCCATGTATATCAGCACACCAGAAGAGGGCACCAGATCTCATAACGGATGGTTGTGAGCCACCATATGGTTGCTGGGAATTGAACTCAGGACCTCTGGAAGAGCAGTCAGTGCTCTTAACCTCTGAGCCATCTCTCCAGCCCCAAGATTCTTGGGTTTATTCCAGAAGACCCCTTGACTTTCCTAAAACTGGACAGTTTAGAAGGAAAAATAAAGTTGATTCCCTACCTTCCATGTCATGAAGTCCAGGCCCCAAGCAGAAGCATCTTCTTCCAACACACAATGCTGCCCACTGATCTGCTCTGATTTCTGGGATTCTGCCTGTATTCCAGCCACCAAGGCTCCAGGGAAATCTTGCAGCTAAAGGGAAATTATTTTTCTTGCTTTCCTTTTGTTCTTCTCTAACAGACTACTGGTTCTTTTGTTCATATCATGTGAGTAGCAGGGCTAAAGGCCTCTGCCTGGCAGATACACTTAATGTGACCAGCTGCTTCAAGCTCCCGTTGCCCTGACTTTTTCACAGTCCCACATGTAAACAAACCCTTTGTCCCTAGAAAATGAGTGAAGACGGTTTCAGTGCTACCATACCAGGCATGTGCCAGGCTTGGGCCATATGGAATTTCTGATCCTTCTGCTTCCACCTCCCAAGCAATGGGATCATAGCTGTGTGTCATCATGCCTGGGGATGCAGCCCAAGCTTCATGTGTCCTAGATAAGCACTCCACCAAATGAGATACATTCCCAGGCCTTTAAGTCCTACTGGAAGAGAAAGAGATAAGACTCACTGGTGCAAATCCTCTAAGGCCAGCTAAAATCTTACTTCATCCACTTTTCAAATTCACCACAGGTTAAAGGAAGAGTTCATCCACACTTCTAAATGCAATGATTTACCATTAATTTCATAAAAATAAAAGGCTGACTTCAGCCTTTAATTTATTCTTCTTTGATATGCTAAGGATTGAACCTGGGACATACTAAGAACTTTACTAGTATTTTAGGGAAGCACTCTACTACCAGGCTACACTTGGATCCTGGACCCTTACTTTAGCTTTCTACCTGTCATACAGTCTGGTAAGACAAAAGCTTTTCTTAAAATTGAGAGCTGCCTATTAGAAAGAAAGAAGGAAGAAAGAAAGAAAAAAAAGCACTTGAGTTCTAATATGCCATCAAAGCATATTAGAAGAACATGAACATCAAACATGAAGAAAACCTGTTTGATGAGGTAAGCTTCCATTACAAAGGACATCTGTTTTCATAGGGAAATTTCAAATCTTCTCTTTAAAGGAAAAAAATGTGCATCTTCTCAGTGCCTAGAATCTAGCAAGCATGACAGATCCACTGAACCTTAAATTACCCACAGCCCATTAAAACACTAACCCCATTAAAACACTAAGTCTAGACATTAAGGCCATGAACTAACTTACTTTCACTAAGAACTACTATCCACAATTAGGTTCCTCTAGTAGATGTTTTCTTTCGTGTGTGTGTGTGTAACCAAAAATCTTTTATTTTATTTATTTACTTATTTTTTTTAAGGCAGGGTTTCTCTGTGGAACAGCCCTGGCTGTCCTGGAACTTGCTCTGTAGACAAGGCTAGCTTTGAAGTCAGAGATTCTCCTGCCTTTGCCTCTTGAGTGCTGGGATTAAAGGCATGTGCCACCACTACTAGCCCCCAAAATCATTTTTTCAGCAAACATCAGAAACAATGTAATTTCACATCAGTAAGGAATCTAAGACAAAGCTTCCCAAGGCAAACTTTAATTGGAGTTAATGGCTTATTCAAACTCACATACCCTACACATCTCTGTTGACAGTAGTCATACGAATAGCTGTCTTCAAAGTCACACGGTCAACCCTAGTTTACTTAATTTCAGTGACAAAGTACTTTGGAACAATTATTAAGTGAAAAGGGAAGCCATGTGGTACTTTTTATTGTCTATGCTACCTTTGTATTTCAGACAAATGCAAATGCAAACAAAGGGGCATATGTCCTATAGAACATAGGATGGAACAGTCTGAAATTTAGTAGAGATTGTGTGTGCTACACAAAGTCAATGTCATCCACACTGCCATTTTTTTATTTTATTTTTTATTTTTATTTATTTATTTATTTTTTTGAGACAGGGTTTCTCTGTGTAGCTTTGGAGCCTGTCCTGGCACTCGCTCTGTAGGCTAGGCTGGCCTTGAACTAGTAGAGATCCACCTGCCTCTGTCTCCCTAGTGTTGGGATTAAAGGCGTGCACCACCACGACCTGGCCACTGCCTTGTTTTTACTCAACATATTTTGCAGTATGATTTATTATAGATCCTTGTGTATCAGAGAAATGAACTCCTAACTAAGTCTAGGGTATGTGACCAAGAGAGAAAATTATTTTTTCCATGTTCTTATGTAAACCAAAATAACTAAGAAAAAAAAAAAGAATGCATCACACATGCAGTTCCTGCACTCAGATATAACAGCTCAAATGTGTGGCTGTCTTTTTCTACATTTCAAAGTATGTGCTTCCAGAACAGTTAACAGAGCCATTCTTTACTCCTACCACAGGTGTGTATTCAGAATTTATCTTATTAGAGGTCTCATTTAATGTAACAGAATGCCATCAATCTTCCCATTTGGGTTTTCAGAAGTATTCTATAGATAACACCCGATGGGTTCAAGTTCCAGAATGCACAGAGACATGTACACATCAGCCAATTGTGGCACTATCTAATTTAAGCTTCCTAAAAAACAGATCAATGATTAGCAGGAAAATGCAACATTTACGTTCTAGTAAGATACAAATGTGAAGTATTCCATTTCCAATTAAGAAGTTCATCAGTGTAGAGAGTAACAAAGAAAATTTAATGACTGGAACACAAAAAGAGATGCTACGAATCTACTGCTTAAAAGCATGCACCCAATACTGACTCCCTGACTATATATTTGAAATTGTAACCACAAATAATACTGTATCACTTTGCTGTGTCCCCAGTGTTTATCATTGAGAAGGCAGGCTTAATAAACTTTTAAAAACTGTAAAGGTTAGTGAGGTGGCTCAGTGGGTAAAGGAATTTACTGCCAAACCTGACAATGATCTGAGTTTGGGCCCTGGGACCCACATGGTGGAAGGAGAGAACTTACTCTCACAATTTGTCCTATGGCTTCACACATACATCTTGGCTTACTTACACATTTTTTAAATGTAGTAAAATAAAGAACATAATTTAGCACACACACCCCCCAGCGCGCACGTGTGTGTGTGCACATGTCTATCGCTAGGCCAGAAGAGAATGACAGATATCTTCTATTACTCTCCATGTTATTCCCTTCAGAGAGGTTCATCTGAAGGCTCACAGTTTTGGCTATTAATGAATGGCAAGTAAGCTTCTAGGATCTGTCTATCTTTGCTTCCTAGTGCTGGGATTACAGACACACCTAGTCATTACTGGGTTTTTAATGCAAGACCTGGGAATTCAAACTCAGGTCTTTATGTTTGCACAGCAATACTCTTATTTTACTGACGAGAATATATTCACAGAAAGATTAAGGAAGTCATATATGCCTCTACGTAACATACAACAAAAAATTCAGTAGAATTTAAAAAAATGATTTCTGGAGAAATAATAGTTTTTAACGGAAAACAAGCTATTACCAATAATCTGTATTTCTAGAGAATAGTTATAACTCCAAAGTTTCTTTTGCTGACTCACAGTGATAGCAAAAACAGGACACTATGTGGAGAGGGCGCTTGTGGACTAAAATATTGTTAGTTGCTTTATACATCTAGATTGTTTTCAGCAAATCAACAGCAGAATTGAAGGGTCTTGGCACCCTTCTTTAGTATTCTCTTTATAGGCAAACTCATGGCATGACTGCAGTTATTTCCTGGGTTTCCACCATCTGAAAAATTTAAATATAACAAAGGAAAGCTCTCAGATGGAATGGGTCAGGAAATCTGGAAGGACAGAAAAAGAAGTCATAATGGGGTGATGATATTTCAAGTACTCTCTGAGACAGAAAGTAGACTCAGTGCCCAGCATATTGGTACACACCTGTAATCTCATCCTTGGAAGTCTCAGAATGACTAGTAAGTTCAATGCCAGAATGGACTACAAAAAAGACAGTAAAGTAAAGAGGGAAGGAGCTCTCCGAGGCTGACCCCCTTGAATGAAAACGTAAAACCTGAACTAAGTGGAGTATGGAAGTTAAAGTTGACAACATTACAAGCATTGCTTTGTCTTTCATGTTAGAAAGTTCTTCGAAAAATTATAGATGTTTACATAAACAGGAAGAATTAAAAAAAAAAAAATCCCCAAACATACTACCTCTAGAGGCAGGGTTGTGATCTCCATAAAAAGATAATGGTTGGAAGCAAAATCCCATTTAAAAAATTTACTTTTTGAATACTGGGAAATAATTATCATTTAAAAGTAAAATCAAAGGACATATTACTGGAAACATCAATCAACTTAAAGAATCATTAGGAGAAAAAAAAATTAAGCTGGGCGGTAGTGGCGTATACGTTTAATTCCAGCACTTGGGAGGCAGAGACAGATCTCTGTGGGTTTGAGGCCAGCCTGGCCTACAGAGTGAGATCCAGGACAGACTCCAAAGCTACAGAGAAACCCCATCTTAGAAAACAAACAAACAAAGAACCAATGGGAGTGAAATTCCTACACCGCCACACTGGAAGGTGCTGGACGATTTTGGCTCGTCCAAGAGATGTAGAACAGAAAGAAAGTTTTTGTCAGTACTTCTGAAGTAGCATGTAAAAACCCCTAGCAAGGAAGAAAATATGAAATGGCAAAGAAGCTGGGATCCACTCATGGAGATCAAGTAAACACCATTCTTGGGAGTAAATTGATTTTTTTGTTTGTTTTGATAACAGGTGGACCTGTTTGGTCTACAACTCACTCTGCAGACCAGGCTGGCCTTGAACTCAAAAAGATCTGCCTGCCTCTGCCTCCCAAGTGCTGAGATTAAAAGTGTACCAGGAGAGAAGAGTTTTAACTCCTCCTGTAGCTCCACAATTTCCTTCTTTTTTCTTAGCCTGTGAGCAGTAACTAGCCTATAGGAGTCAAGTGACAATTGAACTTAGGATCAATGGACACTGAGGTTAAAACCATCACAAAACCTTTACAAATATTTCCTTTCACAAACTTTCTAACAGAAATTCCTATTAAAACACAGATAGTAAGAAAGTTAGCTCTTTTACAAGACTCTTTGTTTCTAGCAAAAATGCTTGTATGATAGAGCAGAGGTGGTTAGGTCTTTACATCCCCGTGAGTGTAGGAAAATCAGGGACATCCCATTCAGTTTCTTCCTCATGCTCAAAGTACCTTACAAATTGCATTCACAACTGAATACACAGTAAATCAAG